AATTATATATGAAAAGCAACATTGTTTGATTATATGTTATAGACATTTTGTCTAAATGCTGATAAACGAATATTAGGTTTTGAATATAATTATTTAATGCAATAATTTAAGATCAATTTTAAAACTTTTTTACTAGTTTTTAAGATTTTACTATAAATTTTAATTTTTTACCGCAATTTTTAATACAATTTTTTAATAAAATTTTTAATATAGTTTTTTGATTTTTTTTTTTTATATTTAATTTTTTAAGACAATTATTTAATATAATTATTTTACCTACTGCAATTTTTTCATCTATTTTAACAAAAATTTTTAAGTTGAAATTAAGTTTTTTTTACTGCAATTTTATAATAAAAAATTGTTAGTATAATTTTCTTACATTCAACTTTTTAATACAAATTATTATTCTATTGCAATTTTAAAGTTTTTTTTACTACAATTTTAAATGCAATTCTTTGAGAGTCATAAATTTTTGTAATCAATTTTCGAATTGTATCAAAAACAGCAGTAAAATAATTGCAATGAAAAATTGTTTCAAAATAATAAATTGTTATTAAAAAAAGTAGTAAAATAATTCCAATACAAAAATTCTAGCAAATAATTGCTATTTAAAAAGAGTGGTGAAATAAAAATAATTGTTACTAAAAAATAGTAGTAAAATAATTGTTATAATAAAAAGTTATTGTAAAATAATTGCACTGGATAATCGTAGTAAAATAACTATATTAAAAAATGATAGTAAACTAATTGTCTTAAAGAAAGTTGTACTAAAAAAAAATGGACAAGGGCAAGGGCAACATAAGGAAAGAAATAAAAAATGTTTGTAAATTCCCAGGGTGATATAAATTATAATGAAAAAAGGGACATTTCAGGTGTTTGGTTTAAAGGCCTGCTAAGATCATCAGGGGTGGAATATCCTTTCATCGCAAGCGGTGTTTCTTTTACTACCACCATTACCTAAACCCGAAAGCCAAAGCATTCGACCCTCGCCTCGACTCGCATCGTCCTGACAGCGATCAATGGTCTCGGCACCAGCTGCATCCTCACTACTAGTGGTGGTGGTGATGGTGATGGTGGTGGTGGTTCTATTCGCCAAAGCCAGTGGATGGGGATTTTTAAAGGGAAGAAGGACAGCAGCAGTTAGCATATAGCTGGAAAGAGAGGGGCGAGAAGTCTCGCGAAGATATCGTCATACGAGACGAATGCACTCTATAACACCACCAGTGGTTTTTTTTCTTCTTCTTCTTCTTCTTCTTCTTCTTCTTTCTCGTTTAGCGGCCACCGAGTTTAGCGCCTGCCCTGGTCGCCTTGCTCTAATTATAAATCTAAAGGTAGTCGCACATCACAAGATACGATTCAACGCGCATGTCACTTTTCGTGAAGTGATTCGACACTGAAAAAATTACCAAAATAGCAATGGTTCCACATTTGAAACTCGAACCAGGATTGACAAAAAGAAAACTATATTTCTTTCAAATTCGAGAAAAGAAGAAGTGGTTGCGAAAACGAAACGAGATTGTCACTAATAGAAATATAATGGATAAGGTATAATAAAAATTAAATTTAGTAGGTAAAGGAGAACGTTGACTGGGAACGTTATTTAAATTCAGAAGAATACGTTGGCAGCTGGATTGCTCTAGGGGGTCGTTACGGGAATTTCCGGTAGGGTATATACACATACCGAAAGACTGTGAAAGAAGGGTCCTCACTATTTCGCGCAGGAGAATGGAAATCTCGATAACCTTGCAAGTTCATCCGCCTACGGGCGAATCCAATTTCAACAGGCAATATTATTTACTCTCTGCTGAGATTTTCAACTTTATCAAATTATCTCTTTTTTAACATTTACAAAAGTCGTAGATAGCGCAATGTTTTCATGACAACAAGGTTCTACTAATATTGGTCTTTACTGCTTTAATTTACATACAAGATATTCAATTTTTCTCCTCATTTTTCTTTTTTTCTTTACTTACATATTTATTTTTATATTTATTACCACAACTCGTTTCATCGTTTACTTATCTCCATTTCAATAAAAATGGTACTCATTTTTAAAAAATTAGTGCAAGAATTATCGCTAACTTCAGGGTCCTGAATCGACGCTAAGTGTCAAAAACAATGAGAAGGTATTAATTTTGTTTTTAATAAAATCGAAAAGTTTCCAAAAAGTACAAATTTCTTTCTTTAGACATTTAAAAAAAAGAAAGCATAATATTTATTAATTTTGGGTATTTTAGGAATTTTTTATAAATTTTATCGAATAAAAAAAATGGAAACCAAATACGAGAAATTTTTTTCTATAGAATGAAGAAAAACGACCAAAACTGAACACATCTCGTGAACTCAGCAGCTGGATGCGCGTGTCCGAATACTCAACACTCGTCTCAATATGTTGCATATAATACACAAAAGACGGTGCGGAGAGAGACGGGGGAGATGTTAAGAATACTCTTTATAGAATATTTAGAATAAAATTCCCAACAATAACCCTGATCATCACAATATAATAAAATTCTTCAAATAAAGTTACTTTCAAAATATTAAACATTAAGAAAGAGACATACTCCCGTATAATCTTAACCCTTCTAAATATCTATACTTTTGAATATCCAATTTTTTTTCATGCATTATAATAGATTCACATCTCATTAGCAAAGAAATTATAATACTTGGTTGCATATCATTTCCATGTGTTTTCATTTAAATTCATTAACTTCTTTTCGAAATTCGAAATCCTTTTTGAAAATCAAAATTATGGACACTTTTTGTAAACACGAATATTCTAATTTTTATCTCCTGTAAAAGATCTTATTATATTGACCGATTCTCTTTCAAAACTTTTATGCTTCGACCGATAGAAATCATTTTATAATAGGGAATTTCTAACATATTGTATATCGAAACAATGATTATAAATTATTTATAAATATAATCATTATTTGAATTATAAATCTTTTTTTTATAAAAAAATATTTTAATTAATTATTTATCACTATTATCATTCGTCGGTACTACTAGAATTATGTCATATGTCCCTACATTCTTTATTATTTATTTAAACAATAAAGTATAATAATTTGTAATAAATAATATAACTGATAAAAAAAATAAATAACATAATTAATAATAAAAAATGATAAGGTGATAGAAAAAAAATATTTATATAAATCAGCTAACATAACCTCTAATTTTGTTACCGCTGTAAATTCCCAAACATTTTATATATTTCCCTCGTTAAAACCATTACCATTTTTTTACTTTGAACCAGAAAATTCCTTCAATATTGTATTTCAAAAATATTTTCCATTTCATACAATATTCATTCTTAGAACAAATTTACGATTTTTAAAAATATACATTATAATGGTGTTAAATTGAAACAAAATTTGAAAAAAAAAACTCACTTTCAAATACAATCGGACAATAATCCGTGAATATTTACATATTTATCTTAAATAAACTTTCAACAAGTGTTTCTTTTTCTCTCTTTTTCATTCGACGTACTTTTTTTTATACGTTTGCAAAAAAAAACTGATATTAAAATTATTATCAGGAAAAAACTCTTCTACACATAAATGTGTATTAATGATAAAAATTTCAATTTTTATTCAATTGATCAAACTAGTATGCATGTAAAAATAAATAACATATGTACAAATATATTAAGTAATAGAATACTAGATGCTTTTTTTTTAATTTACTACTAAAAAAATATGATTAAATAGTCATTAGAAACGTTCACCATTAACAATGAGTAAGAGAGAGACAGAGAGAAACGCCAGTGTCGCAAGCAAAAATGAAGACATATTTCATTATCTGGTCTTTCTACAGAAACAAATTCCCGCAGTGTCAATTGTAATATATTCTTAAAAATTCAGAAACAGAGAGAGAAAGAGAGGGAGATAAAAACATAATTCTTGATAAGATTTTTGTTGGCAGTGACCTGCGGGAAATTACATGAATTCACATGAAATGGAAAATCAATTTTTTTACGTCATATTTAAATAAATTTTCTTCAGACTGTACAAATAAAAAAAACGGTAAAGTACAAACGGGAGAAAAATTATTTGTTCCGGGAAAAAAATGACTCATTCCCTAGGTATATTAACAAACAACTTATATAGAAAAATAGATTTCGCAGATTTCTTGGTAAATAAAAAAAAATATTTTTTAATTATTAATTTGTGATTTAAAATTTAAATAGTTGGAGAAAAAATAATTAGGCAATAAAAAGAAAACGTCAATTTAATCATGACACCGTTTTCGAAATGGTTATAAAAGTCCTTGTCATGATGACGTTTGAATCACATCTCTGTCGCAACAGCTGTTTTCTGAATTTACAAACAAAAGGTTTTCAACAAAAAAAAGTACTCATTTAGCATTAAAAATTGAAATAAAGTTTTTAATCTCCCTATAGGAGAAATTCGGAAACTTAAGAGATAGAGAGAGAGACAGAGGGAGATTAGAATTTGTCAGAGTGACGAGATTTAATTACGTAATCCGTTACTGTCAAACCATACGGAAACAATGTTTAGCCTCAACTGTCATACTAAATCTAAGAAAAAGTTGATGAAAAAATCAAAGGCAAATATTCCTTTAAAAAAAAGGAAATTAGTGTAAAAATTGTTGCGATAAAAGTGGGCAGCTGTTAAGTTAAATTCAATCATTGACCTATGATTTTTTCTCCACTCTTCAGATTTACTGAGGTTTAAAAACTGAAACTCAATTATTAAATCTAAATAGAAAAAAATATTTAAATATGGAAATATCAGGGCCAAAATTGAAAGTCTGAAATATAATCCCATCTTGCTTGCACGCTTTCTCCCTCTCACTTTGTTTCATCTCAAAACTAAATCTGTCTCTCTCTCTTTTCTCACTCACTCTCACACGTTTCCCTTTACCGACGGACACACACATTTGCTAATCATCGTCATCAATAAGGAAAACTACATTTTTTTTTATCTAAAAACACAACATTTTACATAAAAATTTTTACTTACCCGATTGCGCAAAAAGTCTTCGATGGCACGCTGCGCTGAATCGGTGAGTTTAACAAAGATGAGGGACTTGTTTTCATGAAAATTGGCGTGCGAAGACAAACCATACTGGACACCTGCCACCAGCGCCGCCATTTCCGACCAGCTGACGTCGACTAACCCTAGTTTTGCAGCCACAAGAAAAAAATTGCACACCGTATTTAAAAGGAATATAAAAAAATATATTATTAATCTTGAAACAAACACTATCACTCACGAGCCTTACGTCCCCCAAATTATTGGTAGACCCGCACGTTTAAAAAACCTTTTTTCTTTAGTCGTTACATATTAACGCACCGACACGATTCATTTAAGATTTTTCTCTCGATTGAAGAGAGCACACACACAGCGCCCGACGTTTTCTCTGTAATGAACTACACTTTCAACGGCCACCTGGTGGGCGGGGATTCACAATCCACACTAACCAATCAGCTATTATTTTACATACACCCGTCTACTGACCGTGTCGCCATCTTGTGGACCTATCCTGTAACTGTCGGTAAAGTAGAATATCGATAATGTAGAAAACCTTTCTTTTTGGTACAAAATTTTTTTACTTTATTTTTACAATTTTTTCTATTTTATTATTATTTTGATAATTAATTTGTCAATTAGCTGATTTAAAAAAAACTTCTGTTTTACCATGTGAGAATAATTATAGTGCAAAGAAAGTGGCGTTATTATCGCCCCAATTTCATAACAATTCACGAATCAGCTGGTGTGGCAAGTTGTACGAGTTATACTGAAAATTTAGTTGCAATAAATAAATTTTACTTGTAGAAAAGTTATTTAGATACAAAAATGGTTCAGGCATCAAATGTGTATTTTTTTTTATTGACTGCTAAATTTGCGACACTTATGTATTTCTACGAACATGATTTATACAGATTAAAAGAATACGACCCTTTTCTACCTAGAGTAATTCGACCATTACAGGATAGAACTAATGTAAGTTTTTATGTTTCTATATACAAAATGAATAAATATTTCTATGTACAATGTTTGAATAACATCAAATTTGTCACGACTGGTATATTTAGTTATTAACAGTTCTGCATTACGGCAATAACAACTAATGGACAAGAACGAATATTAACATAATAGAACCTTTTTTTTTTACTTTTTTCAAACTTACTTTGAATAATTATGAACTTGAAATTTCGGACACGAATATAAATAACGTTTGTGAGTGAACGTGAATGTTTCTTATTGATATGTATCCTTTAAAGAAGAAATGTAATAATAAAAATTGTGTCTACTTACTGCGACTTTACCGACAGACTGCACTGTTTTTAGTTCATTCGTCAACCGCGAGCGCGCTTTTTTTGAAAGCAAGTTTTCAACTTTCAATTTAAACTGTTTATTCTTGTAATTACAATTTTCTAAAAATCTTTTTTAATGCAATTGAGGTCGAAAATATGACTAAAAGATACTTTTTCCCAAAAGAAAAGAAATAAATGCTTATTTTTGTTTTCAGGATCGTTGGGCGAAAAAGAAACTCGCAGCTGAAAGTCTATAATGTATTTGCAGAAAAATGTCTCTATTTTTAGCATTTACTGTAAATACAATAGCCAACCATGTAAACTTCTTAAGATTATTATCACACTAAAATTTGAATTATATTGTTTCTTAATTTATAATTTATTCCCTATGGAAATTGAAATATTACACAAATAAATGGAATAAGTAAATACTACCCGAGTAGAGAATAATTTCAAAACTGTTCCCTATCATTCTGTATGAATATTTCTACGATTTCTACCTTTATTTATTAACAATTATAGCGAGAAACTAAAAATGTTTCGTTTCTTGAGGATAGTCGACCCAGGAATGGGAATTTATGGACAAGCCAATTAAGCCAAGTTCACATCTTTACTAGATTTTATAACGCACTTTAGAGGTTCGACACTTGAAGCGCACGCGTATTAACATCACAGGAGCGTATTAAAACTTCCCTTTCAAGAAAATTTATTTTATTACTATTTTAAAAAAATATATTCCTTTTCTCTAAATCTCCTATTATTGTTGTTTTTAATTACTTTTATCTATTTTTAAATAAATAAAGAACAAACAAATACTTAGCAATTTTTGAAAATTTTCAACTTTATCCATCGTTTTTTGTTGACAAGGTGCCCGACCGACTAGATACGAGAGTTTACTTTCTTTCGTGTTTCACATCAATCTGGCAAAATGGTATGTGACAAAACTCTTGAAAAAATCCACTATTATTTCTAATTAGATGTTAAAATTTATTTAAATTTTCCATTTACCGATATCTATTATTAATATCCTGTAGAATTTCATTTTGTTTCAATTGATTGCACGGGGGAATTTTCCAATAATTCCGAAAAATGACAGCCTAACCTCACTTTGTCACGTTTTTATCCCTTGTCGACGAGGAATGCTTGCATTTTTCCTTTTTCAGTCATTTATTATTTATAATTTTTGAAAATGTTTGATTGCTTCGATTATTGTTTATCTTCAAATGCGAAATTTGGGAATATTTATTTTTTTTCAGTGACATTGGTGACATTTTTAAGGTTAGGCGAACAAAAATGTTTGTGATTGTAAAAAAGTAAATTTTGAATAAATATTAAATGTAAAACGAATATAAATATTATGGGTATTAGAGAATTTATTAAAAGATTAGAAAAGGGAATTAATTTTAAGTTAATTTAAAAAAATGTTAGTGTAAGAAGAGAAATGTAATTATGAAAAAGAAATGAGCATAATTTTATTGCAGGTCAAAGCAAAGTGCGCCGAACTTCGTAAGAAGGACAAGAAGGAGTTGAAGAAACTCCTGGAGGAATTCAAACATGAATTAATGTCTCACAGAGTTGCCAAGGTGACCGGAGGATCTGCCAGTAAATTGTCGAAAATGTAATGATTACTTTTTTTTTTTTTTACTATTTTTACGACTTTAATTAAATTTTTGAGATAATTTAAAGAATTTGCCAAATTGAATTGAATTGAACATTGAAATGTAAAATATGAAATTAATTTTAATTTTTTCTTCCAGCCGAGTTCTCAGAAAAGCCATTGCCCGCGTGCATATTGTTATGCATCAAAAGCAAAAGGAAAATCTTCGACTTTTGTACAAGAATAAGAAATACAAGCCATTGGACTTGAGGCCAAAGAAGACGAGGGCCATTCGCAGGAAACTCACACCTTATCAGGCAAATCTCAAGCCTTTAAAGGCCGTCAGAAAAATGTCTACGTTCCCTCAAAGGAAATTTGCTTTGAAAGCGTAAACTAAATTATTATGAATGAGAGTAATTTTTTGTATATCTAATTTCACTTCAATTAAAAAGAATTTTGAAAATCCAAACATTTTCTCTTTATTTCATATTGCCACCGAGTATTTTTTTTGTATTAAAAAATTATTTTTCAAAAAGAAATTCAAACTATGCCGCGTTTGGTCATACTGTTGAATTTAATGAATTTAATTTACTTCAGGTTGGTTGTCCTGACAATGAAGATGATAATATGAAAATCTTGTTTATCAGCATTTATACAAACGCAAACAAAAAAAAACCACTGCATAATTGATAATTTTCCTTATTTTTTTTATTGTAATAATTGTAAATGTGTCGACTGTATTGCAAAAGAGAAATTTTCTGGGAAAAAAAGAATGCTTTTGGAAAAAATCAAGTAGAATCTGTTTAAAGTGAAATGTTATTCTTAACACAAGAAATAATAGTGAAAGAAATTGTCAACTAACAGAGAGAAAGTTATTTTTATTTAGAGGTTAAAATTAAAATTGTGACACTTTTCGTTTTTCGTGCTGTGCGGTGCAACGGGTGCAACGAATTTAAAAATAAAATATAGTTTAATTATAAATTTCAAATGACAATTATGAAATAGTTTTCATGTTTTTGTAACATAACCTTTAAAAAAGCCACCGGTCATGTAGATGGAAAACTATAACATTAAATTATAAGAAATTTTGCATTTTTAACAAAGTTTCTAATCAAGTTTCATCATTTTCTAACTTGTTCAAACAAAGTTTGACATTATTACGCATTGAAAACTGCGAATTCAATGAAAATACTTTAAGGTTATTCAAGGTCTGTCGATTAAACTTTGTTCTTATGACTTTTAATCGATAAAAAGTTGACACAAAAACACAGGTATTAATTTATTCTTATTTCTAATAACAAATTTTCGTTCTAATAATTACAAATAATTCGTATGATGACTCTTGACGAAAAATAAGTTATTACAAAAAGTAAAGAAATTCGATCTAATTAAATTTTCTTTGAAAAAAATTGCAATATTCTTGTTATCAATAGTTGCAAATAACACGTGACTATTGTCAACACGCGAATGATTATAATTTGCATCATAAATTTGAACCATCATTCTAAGTTGTGAATAAATTTTCTGTCATGTCGAAGCTGATGTTAAGAAAGGAAAATTTGATTACTCTTTTAACGTTTTTTTTAAAAAATAAATAAGATTTAAAATTTACTATAATTTTTGATTAAAATTTTAAAAACAATTTTAACTAACATTATATTTAATGTAAAATAAAAAATTTCAGCATCATGAGTAATATGCAGAATTCAACAATGATGGCAGTTGCTCTTAGTGCAACTGTCGGGGTCATAACAGCGGCAACATTATTTATTTACAATAAAATTATCGAAGAAAAGAAACAACATAAGGCAATGGATCATAAAGTCGATCAGGTCAATCGAAAAGTCATTGAACTACAGGCCGAATTAAATGCATTAAGGTATTTCACTCTCTCGACAATTATTTGTATATATTAAAAACAAATTAAATAAAAATTATATTGTTATCTTTTTTCAACGATTTGAAAATAATAATAAAATAGAATTTAGTTGTAGAAACGGTAAATGCTAAATAAACACTGATTTCAGATTACAGCAGAAGCAGCAGAGGAGTAGAAGGAAAAAAGTGATGGGGAGTCGTCAAACTTTGTCTGAAGGAACTACGTATAACGGCACTGATAACGAAACTGATGCCGATGCTTATTCAATAGCGGGAACGGATGTTGGAGACGATGAGTTTTTCGATTGTTCCGACAGTGAAGGAGGCGGTGCTGGAGATCTCGATAATAGGTTTGTTCATTTCATTATCATTCATGTTTCATGGATCTTAGAGGTTTTATAATTTTTAACTCTTATGTTGTGCTCTCAAATTTTGTTTTCGTTTTGTATTTCGAAAAAAAGGAAACAAATTCCAATTTTGCACAGTTTGCTTTTTACGTGCATATACTTTTAAATTTCACTATTTTTGGCACTGTAAATATTATGCATACGCATTATGTATATATTTAGAGTATGTTTAATGTGTAAATGCACCAAAATGTACCAAAATGCATTAGTAATTATACAACCTTTACGATCGAAATTTATAAGCTGTAGGAGGAAAGTGTATATATGTTTAGTGATGCAGGGCAGGAGAAATGAATGTCGTGAATTTGATACTCGCTAATCTCGATGAAGACAGGAAGGACAAAACTTTGCACACCGATGTTTATTTTAAATTAAAATCGTTAGCTAATTCTCATCCCAATGATGTGGAAATTGTTTGGAGGCTCGCAAGATCTTGTCACGATTGCTGCAATAATGCGACTGAATTGGAAACTGAAAAGGAATTTATCTTTGAAGGTGAACAAAACTGTTTTTCATTTATTCAAATTTTTCAAAATTCGTGGGAAAGAATTATGAAATAAATGAATTTCATTGAATTTTCAGGCATTGAGGTATGTAAGTCATTTCTAGAAATTCCGCACGCCGATCTTTACAAGTGGTACGCAATTCTCGTGGGATCGAGAGGAAAATTTATGAAGACCAAAGATAAAATAGTCGACGGTTATGTTTTTGCTGAGTATGTAGAAAAGGCAATGGAACTTCGACCAGAAGACAGTGCCGTACACCATCTTTTGGGCAGATTTAAATTTGAAATATCCAATTTAACTTGGATCGAGAGAAAAGTAGGAATAAAATTAAAATTCTAGTCTAAGAATAAAATTAGAATTATTAATTTGTTATATTTTTTGATTCACTTTTTTCAGGTTGCGTCAACTTTATTTGCAAAGCCTCCAAGTGCCTCGTACGAAGATGCGATCGTGCATTTCAAGAAAGCCGAATTGTTAGCAAAAGAGCCATTCCTGGAGAATAAACTTTTCCTCGGTAAATCACATATCGCTCTCGGACAATATAAAGAAGCTGTTAAATATTTAAATGAAATTTACGAGATGCCAGTAAGTGATGAGGAGAAAATTCTAGCCGAAGTGAAAGAACTTTTAGATAAATATTCCGGTTATTTATTATAGCCATAAGGTTCGATCATTCCATTTATTTTATAAATAATAATTCAAGTGAAAGTGCATTATTAAAATGTGATTCGATGCTCTCGATGAATCTTCTCAAGATTCTACATAACTGGAATCTTATATCTCTAATAACTAAATTCACATCTTTTTTGTGAATCTTTTCTTTTTTATTTTTTAGAAAACAATTTTGTTAAATTAGGCCAAATTTTACATATTTTTATCCGAAGAACTGTTTTTTAGGAAACTCTTTTTTTTAATCTAATTTTTTACATTCATTTTATTCTCATTTTCAAAACTTTTTGTCTCTTTTTGCTTCCACATGAGGGAAGCTTTTTTATTCATATTTTTTTTTTTTTTTTTGTAAGAAATATTTTTAAAAATCTCAATTTTATTTCTAATTTATTTTTTTAACTTGTGTATGTGACTTTCTAGAAATTAATGGGCTCAATGTTAATTAGCACAAAGTTTAGTAAAAAGGTTTCTTGATTTCAAAATGAAAATTTATTAATGCAAACTTTTATTTTTTAAAATTTCATGCAATATCGAATTAGTGTGAATGTCAGTGTCATAAAATTTTAAGATTCGACGCTCTTGAAAATTGGAAGGGAAAATTATTTGAATAGAGAAGAAATGGGGAAATTGAAATTTAAAGGAATTGTGAAAAGTTGATAAAAATGTTTATTTCCAATTTTTATGAGACTAAGCTTATCGATACGGTCTTTAATGAAATATTTAATGTGTAAAATGTAAAAAGCTGTACGTATTGAAAAAAAAATAATCTATTTGTAAATAAGTGGCGAACGTCGGAAAAAATATATAATGAGAAAAAAAAAATGTTCTTTTCTTCTTTTTTGTTTCTTATCCTTTATTGAAAGAAGTGCGCCGTGATAATTTAATTCGAATGGAGGAAAAGAATCGTGTGATTGTATAACTGTGTTAGTGGCTCGGAGATCAATAATGGTCCAACACAGCATCCCACCAGTATGGCAGAGGGTGGAAATATAAAGTCGGGTAGAGTGCAAGAGAGAAAAACAGGGGTGTGGGAAACTGGGAAGCCCTTCTGCTAATATTAGAGGGAAGCCAGTACAATTCTTCATGTGACAAGGCAGTAGATAGCGACCAATGTCTGTGAAATGTGGTACGATTTTCCATTTTTTTTTTTATCAAATTCGATTATTGTTAATTTTTATTTGCCAAATTACGTAAATCAGATTTTTTTCAAATTGCATTCCATTTTTTTTAATATATAAAAAAAGTAAATTTATTTTCGTTTGCAGCAAATTTTGACGTGACGGGATGCGTGGACTTTTTCGTGGAATTATCTACTGCAGTTTGTGGTATGGGAGTATTGTGGCGGGATTTTTATTCATCGCTTGTCCCTTATTGCCATTGATGTTCATTAGTCCCCCAAAATTCCGAAGGTATGGAGATCTTTTATTTTCGTGCTGGGAACTTTATCCTGCGGTGAGTATTTGAAAATTATATTTATTTAAATTGTGTCTTGGGCTAATTTTCCCTTTATTTTATTTACACACACAGGCTCTTATGGAATTATTAGGAATGAAAATTGTTGTCTCTGGCGATCATATTTCTCCCGATGATTCGGCAATTCTCGTCATGAATCATCGTACACGAGTGGATTGGAATTTTCTATGGGGTGCCATGTATCAAGCCTGTTTGCCCCACATTGCTGCTCATAAATTGAAATTCATTCTTAAAGATCCCATTCGTCATATTCCTGGACCAGGTAATTGCATTTTTCTTTTCTACAAATAAAGAGATAGAGAATGATAATAGAAAATGAAAAATAAAATTGTAAACAGAATTTAAAATTATAGAATGTGAAATTTGAAACTAAAAGGATTGTGATTTAAAAAAATGAGCAGGTTGGATAATGCAGATGAACAGCTTCTTGTACATAACTCGCCGATGGGAGGTGGATCAAGGCCGCCTCTCGAGGTCTTTAGATTATCTAATAGATCTTCGTCGTCGCACACAGCTGCTGATATTTCCGGAGGGAACGGACCTGACACGAAGCAGTCGGGAAAAGTCGGATAAATATGCCGCCGAGCACGGACTTCCCACCTACAATTACACACTCCATCCAAAAACCACTGGTTTCACGTATTTAGCCCGTCATCTTCAGAAATCCAACTACCTCGACTCAGTATACGATTTAACGATAGGCTATCCGGACAGAATACCACAATCGGAAATTGATTTGGTCACGGGAAAAATGCCCGATGAGATACATTTTCATGTGAAGAGAATAGACATTAGCGATTTGCCCGAAAACGAGGTTCACTTACGCAATTGGCTGGAGAAACGATGGCTGCTGAAGGAGGAAATTCTCAAACAATTTGCCGAGAAGAAATCATTTTCCGATGTTCCATGGCCGAAACCAAGTCAATTACCACTAAGGATTGCTCTTGTTTTTTGGACTCTGCTCACTGGTCAGTTTAACATAATATTCTAATCTAAATTTTGCATTTATTTAGATTTGAACTTAAATTTATATTGAAATGAAATTTCAGGGTCCGCAATTTTATTAATACTGACCTCATCGTTTTTTCGATTCTGGACAATCCTACATGTGCTGATTTTCATTTGCCTGTCTCTCTTCAGCTCAGGATTCAGCGAACTCGAGATGGGATGGTACTGGCATTGGAAACGTAAATTTACTGAAGCAAGTCCCAAAGAAATTAACAATAAGACTTAAGATATAGATAGAAATAGAGTATAAAAACAAGTAACGAAAATGTGTTCCTCTTACCATTCAATAAGTTTTTCAAGAAATATTTTCAAAATTTTCTCAACTGTTCGTTATAGTTTCGTTATTTACAAAAAAATATAAAAAATACCATTATTATTTGTGAAGCGATCTGAAGAAAGGGACCTTAGAAGCAAAAAATTATAGGTTATGTTTTCAATTTTTTAAATGAAAATACAAAAAAATAATTAACTGTCAATATTAATCATTAATGTTTGAGTCTTCATTACAACTAAAATATTAAAGAAACACTGATTTTAATTTGCAATAAGTATAAAGAAACTTTTAATTAACAAGAAAATAACACTAACATAACCTTAAAGTGTTTTGCTTCTAAGGTCCCTTTCTTCAGATCGCGTCACATTTACAGAGAGGAGTATATAAATTCTTCACAATTCTGTTTTAAAATTTTCTTCAAAAGATTTTCATCTAAAAGTTTGTTTTACAAATTTATTTCCATATTTTTGAAATCAAAAAGAAAAGAAAGAAATAAATAAAATTTTAACGAATGAATTTGTAAAGACATCTCTGTATCTATAATTCTTGAGAAGTTAAAATTTGAAAAGTAAAAAAGGAGACTACAAAATAATTTTTGCAGTAACTACTGTTTTGTAAATTACATTGAAAATCTATTTTTATAAGTATTTTTTTAAGTTTTAAAACTATACAAAAGTTTTTTCATAATCTTATTACAAATTTTTCACTCCCCCCCCCAAAGGGCTGAATGTATTCTCAAAACTTTGTTTTTTGTGAATATTGCAATATTTTCCAAGACTTTCTTTAATCCAAAGATTTGAACCGGAATTGATTACAACTCTTAATTGAGTTTCTCTAACATTAAAATGTACAATATAATTTTTCAGCTTTTGCTGATAAAATATCTTAATTTAGTTTTTAGTTTTAAAACGGGCAGGGAAGCAATTAAAATTAATTAGTATAATTATTTCAAGTATTTTTAATTGTAAATTTTAATTCTGCTTCCCTGCGCAAAAAGATTGTAATTGTTGTAGAAAATAGGGAAAAATTTTATTCTTCTGAGTATAAATAATATATAGTTTAATCTAGTTTCTTAAAAATTGTCGAAGTGAAACTAAATAAATAATTTAGAAAATTCTTTTCTAAATTGTCGATTTAGTTTAGAGTCGAAAATACTTGAGAATGAATCTCACAAACTGTGGATTCACGTGCCAAACTATTAAATATAGAAAAACCTGATTATTCTTTTCTAAAAGAAATTAAATCAGAGTTTTAGTAAAAATACTGAAATTTTTCACTAAGAGAGTTCAGTATTCAACTTGTATATAAAATTACGTGTATAAAACAAAAATATCATAATAGAATATTTAAAATCAAAGATCAAATATTCTTGTGCAGCGAAAATTAAGTTTCTGATTGTGAGTAACTTAAATATATATTAATTATTACAAATATATTTTCAGTAAATATTTATTTCTTGTAAGTAAAATACTAATAATCGACTGTTAAAATTTGACTGAAAACTTTCCTCTGGTACAAATTTGTAAAAATTTCCAGGCCTCGGATCGACTTTAAGCGTCAAAAAAACGTTTCAGAATCAAAGTACAAAAAAAATGGTTTATGTTATTTAGAGTTTTTGAAAAAGTTTAATTTTCCATTTTTTAGAATTTTGGATGTAATGTAATGACTTGAAGATGAGTAATTTTGAATAATAATTGATTCTCTTTCTGTATTTTTACTTAAAAAATTAAAAACATAACCTCAAAGTTTTTGAAACCTTTCTTCGGAGCGCGACACATTTTATACCAAAAAAGTGGTATTGAAAGTCAAAATAGACGCAAATTTGGAAACAAGTCGAAAAAATTCGCCTTTTTTGAAAATAGTCGGGAAAAATCCAAAGTTATACTACACGAGGCCTGAATTTATCTAATTAATTGTGAAACAAAACATTATCTGATAGAATTAAAAAAAGAGAACTATATAATATTAGAATAAAACTCGGATTTGTTTTTGGTAGTCTAATGAAGATAAGCGAAATTCATTTATTTGAAATATTTACAAGTCGACAAATCTGTTGGTCGAATTTCTAATAAAATTCAAGTGAAAGAACGGGATTTAATGCGATAAAAATTATGTATATGTACATCTGTAACCAGTTTTCTGTACAAATTAACCATTGTCACAGATGGAAGATAAAAAATATAATAGATGTTCAAATGTCACTGTTTTTTCACTGACCACTTGAATTGCCTTTTCTTCCCTTGTCTCACAAAAAAATGATTTAACGATGACAATTTTTGTTGTAAAATGGATTTATCGGGCTTGGCAAAGGACTTGGTTTCAAAACACCACATCGAGGTTTTCGATTGGCGTCATAAGGAATCGCGGGACTTTGTCGAATCTGTTGAAAATATTCCGATGTATGTTGCGCTGTGTTTTTCTGCAACATTATTTTCACTCTCTTCTTATTTGGTGTGAAATTCATCGCTTTCACGTCAAAACAGCCTAATTTCTGTAAAAGTAGAACAAAAAGTTAATAAAAGTTTTTTTAACAGTAAAAATACTTGTGAACCTTGTGAAGGAGTATTTGCTTACCCTATTTTGATCCTCGAGTTTTGTGAGAACGGGCCTCAAAGTAGGAAGTTTAGAGTTCTTCAAAGACTCTGTTAAAACTGTCAAAGCAATGCTGTTTTGCTTCTTTTGTAGTTCCTCAAAGTTTAAAGATTCATTGGGTTCGGCGATGGAAACGTCCCAGTCTCCACAAGTGCCGAATTCCGATTCCTTACTTTTCTTTCTGTGCTTCTTCTTCTTTAGTTTTCCATTCATAACGATTGACTCCAAATTTGTGATTTTCGCCTTTTTCTTCAAATTATTCGACTTTGGGTTTGAACTCGACGCCTCGGATTCTTCAACCTTTCTTTTTCTTTTGACAACTTTTTCTATTGTCAACTTTTCATCATTATTTTCACTTTCATCTTCCGCAAAAATTTCCTCGTCATTCTTGCGTTTTCGTTTTCGCAACGATTTATTTGAATCTGCATACAATTCTTCTTCGAATTTCAGAAGATCCAACGCTGCCTTCTTATTGTTATTCTTCTTCTTCAGTGAGACCTGAATTTCCTTGACGCCAATGGGCATTTCTCCACTCGCCACAAGAGTAAATTCTTTTGCAAGTCGTACTATTTGTCGACGAGATTTGGTTGTTGACGATGGAAGAAACCTGTATTCGAGAAGTAAATTAGTTATTTGTTGTGGATCAAATGTAATTTGCGGAATTTCCACGTCAACTCTTCCTGCTCGTGGATCGAGAGGATGGTCAGATGGACCTGCAACCTCTTCGTCAGAACTGTGGCCAATGTTATTTAAATCTGCCTCACTGTCTGATAAATCGACTTTTTTCATTACGTCAATTACGCCACAGGGGAAACCTGCCTGTAAACAAGAAACTTGTTAGAAAAATCCAAAAAATCCATGTCTAAATGAAATGTTTATTTATTTCATTCCTTTACTCACCTTTCTCCAGGCATCGAATTTTTCTAGATAATCCATTCCAACGTTCGATTGAAATATTAAATACCTAAAGATATTCTTGACAATGTGCCTCATTTGCCTAGCATCATCAATGCTAGATAAGTAGACAGCAAAAGGCCTCACCAATTCAGTAACTATATCTTCACTAATTACTCCATTACTTACCTGAAAATAAGAAAACAAATACAATAAATTGTCAATTTTGTTATCAGCAAAGTTATTTTTCTACAAACAAGAATCTGTCTTACTTTGGCGAGTTCTTCCATAAACACCTCAACTATTTGCAACTTAAGACCTAGGGAATTTTTCGTAGCAACCAAGAAATCTTGCAATATCTTTGCAAATTCAATGATGAGGTCCTTGTTCCACTCGTGCTTCTTGCACATCTCAAATGTCTGTCGAATAATCCTTCTCAACAACTGAAAATTTAATGAAAATAAAGTCAATAATTATTCCGTTCGCAGTTTGAATAAGCAATTAATTTGAAATATAAATTTACCATTTCGAATTTATCGATTCTGTATCTATCGATACCAAACCATTCGGTAGAGAGACTTTCAAAGGTACATTTAATGTAAAGTAGCGCAGTTTTCATTGTTGAAAAGCAATGTACAATTTTGCTGATTGATTCCGCTAGTTCTTCCTGAACTAATGGTTTATCCGACATCCACATGCAATAATATAAACCTTTCCATAATCTTACAAAATCCGCTTCTGTAAATGCTGCAAAAAAAAAGAATTTTTTCAATTAAATCCAAATTCACTGATATAAATTACATTAGGAACTAAATAAATAATTAAAACTAACAACTAAACTAAACTAGTGAAAAATAAATTTTAATTGAAGAAACTCCAAACACAACTTGCTGACAAATAAACTATAAATTCTAAATGTAAACATATTTACTGGGAAAAGTTTACAATTTTGTCTGCAAACACACACAAGCACACGCGCCAACACACGCAGACCACTTTAAGGTTAAGTGATTAATTATACACGTATATGTATTGAAACATTTTGTACTACAAGGGAATGTTTCCAATTCAAGTCTTGAGTTAAAAGTTAAAACATTGTCGAGCATATGGCACGCGTGCAACTGGAAATATTAAATTTCCAAAAAATAAAATTGAAACTTACCGAAAGAACTCTGAGCGCGAACAGTTAACCATTTTTTCAGATTTTTAAGCACTTTATCGCGCACCTTTTTGTCTTTGCTGGCGAGTAACCTAGCAAACTTGATCTCCTGGGCAATAATCAGTGCTTTACCACTTTTCTCCTGCTTCACATTCACCACCTTTTGTTGCATATTGCATTTTGGAATTTGCTTCTTTTTCTTTTGTTTCGACGAAACGGCCGTGCACCTCGTTGGTTTTTTAATTCCCATTTTTTTTCCACAAGCCAAGAAACAAATTTTTTGGCAAAGCGAGCACACGCGCGTGGCAAATGCAAAGGAAAAATCGACGCTTCACGCAACAGTCTGCGCAAGTTTTCAAAAGAAAAAAAGCTGCTTTACCGTTAAGGCCGATATCACAATTAATTCGACTCAGGGTTGGGCATGTTTCACCTAGAAAAAAAAAATTCATTCGGATTTCGGAACAAAAAAATTACTGGAGTGCAATGTTTTTTTAACAATAATAAAAATCGAGTTACTTAATCAAATACGTGATAAAATGTAATTAATCTGCGTATTTTTTCATAATGTTCCGACACTTTCTTGTAGAACGATCTTTAATGGGAATTTAACTCTAGCGCCATCTACGATGAAAATTTTTCTTTTTCTTTTTAATTTTCCTACGCAGTTATTTTTTTTATGAGAGAAAAAAGGATAGAAACATATTTCCATTCTTCTTTCTCTCATGTAAAAATTAAGACGTTTTCATCTTAATTTTTCCATGAGAGAGAAAAAAGAAGGTTTAGTTAATAATTAACAGAAAAAAAGAATACGAAAAGTGAACTAAATGTACAAATCTCCATTATACTTAAATATTATATTTACAATAATTTCCAGTGTACAACTTACTGTATTTGAAGTTCATTAAATCTACATTGCATAGAAGTAGAAATTCGCCCATTCATTAATTCCTATTTTTCCGCGTTTCTTCGTAAAATTTTCTCATTACACTCAAAAATACTGTGCCGTATTTTTCTACTCGAAAAATAAAATATAATTCTAAAAACAAAAATCAGCGTGACACGTACAATAAATTCTCCTTTACACAATTCTCTTTTCAAATAGTATCACAGTTTTAAAATTAAATAGTCTCTTCACTTGCATATCTAGATTAATATTTTACACAATATACTATATACGTATATATTATAATTATATTTCGAAAATAAATTTCAATTCATTTTGTGTGTAAAGATTAATTGATTTTTCTGCTTTCAAAAAAATCCAATTCAAGATGTATTATTCTATTCTATCTATGAATAAAATGAATAAAATGAATAAAATGTCTTTTTATGAAGAAACACAAAGATTGTTCGATTAATAATAAATAAATGAGAGAAAACATTTTCTCTCTCTCACTCTTTCTAGATTCAGTCGAGAATTGAATACTTTTCATTTTTTCTAAAGTATTTTGGACCGCGAGTGTATTTATGAAGTTTGTGTAAAAATATACCTATGTGAGTGATATACTCTCCCAAGTATTCCCAGAGCGCGTTTTGTGTATTTTTCGAAACACTTAATTGATCCACGAGGGATTAGTGTTTTGTACACAGACGGGATTAGGAGAGTAAAGCAAGTCCTATTGGGGCGGTCCGCCCATCATGCCTATCGGTGGCATTCCTTGAATACCATAAGGTCCTTGCGGTGGTCCTTGACCTCCGGACATTGGCGAGTGCAACTGCATAGCGGGACTTTGAATCTGTTGGGTCGAAGTTACTTGTCCGCCTCCCATCGAGCCAACCACTTGCTACAAGATATCAAATAATTACTTCTATTTCTGTATTTTTACTCCAAAAATTGAACATAACCTCAAATTTTTTGCTTCTTGCGTGTAGAATGAATTTACCTGAGTAAGCACTGGCGGTTCCGAGGGCAGAGTCAAACTAGCGAGAAGATCTCTGACAGCTGGGAAAATTGAGCATTCCGAATGAATCGTGGTGTATTCGGCGAATCTTTTTAAGTGCATGGACGCTGCGCTTATCCATGGACCACCGGCGTCTCTCTTCTCAGCGAGACTCAATATATTTGTGGTCAAATCGTAAACCAATGGCAATACCAACGAAGGCGGTTCGCCTTGATAAGGAACTCCAATTCTCGTTATTTGCAACTAAAAACGGAATTAGAAATCATTAAAATGGAAAAAAAATTATTTATAGAATTTAAATTGAAATACTCACGAAGAAAAGAACACGATTTTTGCAAATTAAGACGGAAGCAGTGCCAATTGGAATGAGAGGCAGTGCAGAGGGTGGAACCCGCAAACACCACTGAACGGACCATTTTAATTGCTGTTGCTGCACCAGCGACGGTACCAATTCGAGTTTCATTATTTGAATGAAATCCTTTAGAATATTGAACGGTAAGTTTAGCATTTTTCCAAATCCATTTAGCGCATTTGGCTTGTACGGTGGAGCTGCCGCTCGAGTGTCGAAGAATTTTTCAAGAATCTAGAATCAATTTTCATATTGAATGAATTGAATTTAAGGACATTGACATCATATTGACATATTTGAAATTTCTAGGTTATGGTAATAGAATGAAAATTTATTTTCTCACCTGTAATTCTTCAAGAGTCCACTGATCCTTGTGTTCGACAACGGGTTGAACTTTAATGTGAAGTGATTGTAAATGTTGTGGATTTAACCCAACTCTACATTGCAAAGTATCTACTTTAAAGTGAACGACTCCCGGTTCCGTACTATTGATAATTGTCAGCTGTAATAACAAAAATTTATTTTAGGCTAAGAAAAATATTCAAAAAATAGTCCAATCTAATGACTCGCTCCGAGTTAAGCAAACTCGGGACGATTCAGGTAATATTTTCTCAAACAATAACTCACGGATTCGTCTGTTTGAATGAAGCGTTGTAGTTGTCGTTTCATGTAGACGCATCCGAGGAATCTCTCAAGAGGCGACATGTCCGGCCCGGGCAGACCCGAAGGATGACCGGACGGTGCACAGAGTAACTCGAGGGCCTCGTGAGTCAAGAGTGTGGGCACGGCACCAGCCCACGATCTCTGGGGAAGAACTCGTGACAAATGATTGACGGCTTTATGCTCAGAAGCTTGGGGACTGTGTAGAGCGACGTGTCCCGGACTCTGACCGGGTCGCGCTGGCGAGGGTCGAGGCACGCTCGGCGAACCCGGCCAATTCGACGCCGCCGGTGAGGCCATACTCTGCGACGCCGGGAAGGGACTCCCGTCAATGTGACCTGTCATTAAGATTTGTGAAATTTCTCCAATATTTAGAGGAAAAAAGTAACTTTTTTTTTCTTAATCTCACCAGTTTGCATGAACGAGCTCGCGGGTGAATGTCCGACTTGAACGTTGCCGCAGGGACCCGGAGACGAGGTTGGCATGAGGCCCGCGGGACTAGGGACGTGCATTTGATTCAGAGGACTGTTCGCGACCAGTCCCGATCCTGGCGATGGATGAGGCAGCATGTTCGGAGTGTTGGGTGGCAAGGAAGGTGGCGAGGCTAAATTGAAAGACGTCGCCGGACTGCTGCCGAAGCTCTGATGCTGACTCGCCTTTGGAAATTGGTAACTATTTAGTTTAAAAGAAATCTTTCACCTTTGATAAAAGTTCTTTTTCACTCTCCTACCTGAGAGATGTTCGCCGTATGGGGACTGGCGGGAGTGTGAGGATTGCTACCCGATGGCGGTGTCAGTGGCGGATGGAATCTCAAGTTGTCTCTTTGCTGAGCTGGAGATTGCGGTCCGCCTCGATGATGTCCCAAGAAACCGACATTTCCACCTCCTTCACTGTCCATTGCCACTGGAGATGGTGGATTGTCGTCCTCCGATTGCGATCTTCTTCGATAAACAGCGCTTTCGTCGACGTATTTTGACAGGAAGGTCTATCAACCAAAAATTGTCAAATTATAGAGAATAGAAAATGGAATAGAATAGAAAATTTACCTTTAAGCCCTGAGTGGGTGTGAATTCATCGACAACGTTGCTTCGATCGAAACGACTGTAGGCACCGTCGCGAAGACTCACCAGTCCTCCACCTCGCAGTCTCAACTCCAAGCAATACATTCCCAAATATGCGATTCTCACTAAGCCGACACGCTGCGGCATTATCGTGAACGTTTGCACGGGAATTTGCGGTCTCTACAAGAAAATTGTGTCAATTGAGAAATAATAAACAAATTGTGACGCACTTTCAGGAAAGGTATGCAAACAAGTTATAGGTTATGTTCATGTCAGATTCATCTACATTAAAAGTTTCTGTTTAAGTATGTAAATTCGAAGACAGTTCTCCTCGAGTATTTTGGAGCTAACAAAAATTGGAAGTTAAACAATTTTTAATAGTAATTAACTTCTCTTTCTGTATTTTTACTCCCAACAAATATAAACATAACCTAAAATTATTTGCTTCTCAAGTATCTTTTTTGGGAGCGCGTCACAATTAATTAAAAATTTTCCGAAAAAACTTAAATAAAACTTAAATTTTAGATGTCAGAAAAATGAATACTTACGGAATTGTGAATGCACAATTGCAGAATTGACGGTAATTTACTAATAGACGTGAGAGGTTGAAGAGTTTCATTGAGAATGTGAATAATTTGTGCCAAGTTTCGCTGTTGATTTAAGTGCGCCTCCAGTTGTTCTTTCATAATCGAATGAGCATTCATCGTCGTATTGCAGGGACTTTTACCGAAAGTTAATTTAAACGCTTTGTCTTTTGTGCTCCATTGCACTGTGACAGTTGCTCCTCGACTTGATCCATAAGCTATCACTAATTTACTGTAATTGTACGATTTAATTGTAACCATGCTTCGTAGATTGTATTTCTCTGAAAAAAAACAAAATTTATAAAATTCAATTTGTCATATTTTGAATATTTTTTGTAAAATTTGTTTACCCATTTTAAAATATTCAGCAAGATCGTGAACGATTGTGTACAAATGAACAATTTGGGCCCAATCACTGAATAGTGAATCAACTGTTCGATTTATGTTCTCCGCAGTCAACATATCGTACTGAAAGTAAACCGGTCTTCGTAGTCCTTGAAAAAAATAATAAAGATAATAAATATTTGTTAAATTTTAGGTTATGCTAAGTAAAATGTTTCTGATTCTTTAAGCTTCCACTATGAACGAATTCGAGTCTTTTTCATACAATAAAATAAGGAATTGACACTTTTTCTTAAATAAATAAATAAATACCTTGTTCCTTGGGATGAGTACTGGACAGAGGACTTCCATAGAAAACGAATTCAGCCATCCAGGACTTGGCCATTCCTTTCGCTTGAACTCTTATCGCGACACTCAATAATCGTTTGAGAAGTGCGTGCCACGCGGAACTGGTCGCAATATTCGGAGAGGGTGCCGGCAATTGAACCAGTTTTAATACTAAAGCTGTCGCGTGAGCCTCCACTTGAAGACCTTGATGTGCTATTTCTCTCTTTGTGAGCTACATGAAAACAATTGAAAATTTATTTCTAATAATTAAAAAACAACTATTGCTAATATAATTATTGTCTGGAGATGAGAAATAATATTACCTCCTGTGCCAAAGTGACAAACGGAATTCGCTCATCACAAAACGCCACAACGTGCGCTAATTCAGGAATGAAATACGCCGGTAATTTTGGTCGTCGATTTTGCGGTGTACCAGTGACGTCAGTGCGTCCACCACTTGTTCCACTTCGCCGTTTATTGCTGCCCTTCTCCACCACTTCTGTAATGCACCCCCCATCTTGATCATTATTCCCTAAAAAATTCACCCATTAATCCCATAAAGAACAGCAGACACCGCAAAGGGATACCAAGCACAATGTTTCCAGATGTTAATTTTTATTCAATCGCTATTATTAAATTAGAAAAACTATTTAACAAAATACAATTGGTTATTTTATGTTAGAATAAGCAAAAGTTGTTAAAGATGAAAAACAGCACTGAAGACCAAAAAGCGTTATTTCTTGCACTAAAATTGAAAAACAACAATATCCTTCTTACCACTGTCGACACTCGTAAATGGTCCGTGAGTCGTGACAAATGTGTCAAATTCAATTAGACTTTGCACTTTGAGGTACATTTTCGGAATTTCCGCTTCGATATTGTCGTCATGTGGATCGCCGTCGATTGAACTGTGCTTCACGACTGCCATGTAGAACGAACATTCAATTTCGCAGGGTGCTACTTCCTTCTCCTTGAAAGTGACGATCTAAAGCAATTTGTTTACCAGTCAAGAAAAATTCAGAGAAAATATTAATTTCGACAATGAAAATAAAAATTTACTCACGAGAATGATTGCAGGATGTCTGTGCAATTGAATAAACATTCGATGTTTATTGATTTTCGACATCGGATGATCCGCGTGGTATAAAAGTGGTAGACGTTCGTGAGGTGTTGCAGGCAAATGCTGCAACGTTTTTTCACATCTTCTCTGAGTGATCCAATATCTAGGAAAATTGAAGAAAATAATAATAATAATTTAATAACAATTGAATTGGAGATAAACAACTATTTCGAGGAAAGAACCAACGAAAAGGCGAACTAACCTCAATTCGGAGATTAAATTCGGAAGACGAGAGCGATCTGTGTTTAGGGCAGTCGTAAGTTCTGGAACAAGAGGCGCGTCATATTGGGGAACGTGACATTGAAGCATTCCAGTATGTGTGTCGACAGTGACTAAAAGCAGTTCGGCACGAAGACAGGGTTGCAAAATCGGAATCGATAAGATGGCCGGAGATCCTGCGAGTGTACCTGTTAAAAAAAAGAATTTAATATTAAAAAAATATATATATTTAAAGTTTAAAGTGTGTGAAAAAGGAGCTAAACTTACATTCAACGTCTTTCAACATAGCTTGAAGTTCCTGCTTCAAATCGAAAAGTCGACTTCGAGTTCTCACATAAATCGTATGAACGAGAAGACACTCCATTGATAATTGATCCGATCTAATTGCTCTGTCAGCTATTTCCGATTCCTGTTATTACAAAAAATAATAAATTAATAATAAACGTAAATAATAAATTTTTATGAAAAAATATTCAATTACCTTGCTGCCCAAGGAAGGAACATGAACGACAGCCAACGGCCTTGCTGGTTCGTGTTGATCAACCTGAATCGACATTCTGTACCCGAGTTCTGACCTTGGATCTTTACTTGTCAATTCCCTGGAAAAATGCCAATTTTTTGAAATTAATGATTTCTTACACTTTCTCTGTAATAATAAGAAGTAAAGTTTACCTCCAGTAGGAAACAGAGAGACATTTTCCAGGCGTGTATTCGTCCACGTGAATGTGATCGTCCAGTCTGTCACGAATCAGTCGCAAAGTTTGAGAATAAAGAACTTCCAGTTGAAGCGATTGACAGAAGAAATGCAAAATGTGATAAACTTCCGACAGTGGATCTGAACTTTCGGCAAGTCTCGCTTGAACGACCTATACAAATAACAAGAATTAAAGTAAAATTTTTAACAAACTACATTTAACTCTTAATAATTTTCAATAAACACAAATTCCAAAAGTTCTAAACGTTCAATCAAAAGAAATTTATTTAATTCTTCTTCAAATTTTTGTACAATAATTTTGCGTCACGTACCAAAAATTTCGTTCAGTTCAACGTTCGAAATTTGTGGATCATACGAATTAAGTTTTGAAAATAAGAAAATGAAAGTAATAAAAATTGTTTATTACTTGGTGAACATAACGTGTTTGCAGTAAATGAACGAGAGCTTTTCCATCTCCAGTTTCACGGTCAGAGACGAGAATTTCAAGTTCCAATAAACGCCAAGGAACGCCTTGTCCATCTCCCATAACTGTCAGCGAAACGGAAAATTCTTGCTCAACGAGGAAAGTTACTCTTCCAGCATCGATCTAAAAATGTGTAAATAATTAAAATTCGTCAAATTCGTCCTTTATAGTTTCTATTTATTTGCAAATCTCGGGTTGGCTTTAAAGCGCAAAAAAGTCGCGATTATTTTCAGAAAATAAATCGAAAAATAGTCCCACTATCCGAAGATCTGTATTTCAAATAATTTCCAAAATACAATAAATGCGGGGGGAAAAATACCTTGAGATTTCTCATTTGTGGCAGTAAATTTCCAGTCACCAGTCGATGTTGAATAACTTGATTCAATCTTTGAAGAGTACTCTTCTTTTCCGAAATAGTTATCGGATCCGGAGGCACTATTCGTTCCTATTGAAACAATAAATAATTGTAATTTAACAAAATTAAATATTTTATTTTAAGGGACATTTAAGAGCGAAACTAACTTTTATACAAGTAGGTAATCGACTGTAAGTTCCAGTGGTGAGAACTTCGACGGCGGCAGGAATATGAAAATTAGGAAGTCTCGCGTGAACCAGTGTTTCACGTGCCATTCTTGCCAGCATATCCGCCGTGTCGACGAAAAGAAGAGATTGCTTATCTAAAAACGCCATAATCCGCTGGACAATAATTTAAATATTAAATATAGATGAAAATAATTTATTAAAGAAATTGTTCGAAAAAGAAAAAAAGCTTACGGCTGATTTGTCGACCTTCGATGCACTATTGGCCCATTTTACCAATGCCAAAAGTCGAACAAACAATTGTCTCGTTCTCGCAGCAAAATTGTAAATTTCTATTTTTCTCTCCATGTCAGTTTTTCTAGGAAGTCTGCAAAAAAAGATTCAAACTTGAATTTTATTCAAATTAAAATCTAAGTTCATATTTTACTTTTTCTTCGTCGATTTTAAAATTATTAAATATTAACATTTCTCGCTTGAATATCCAATTTTACTTACAATTCGGCGAGAACGGTGAGCTCGTGATAAGTTCGTTGAATGATAAAATCAATCAGCATTCCTAAAGAAATGGAACCTCCTCGATTTCCCTCCTGTGGTATATTATTTGCCACAGGAGTTTGATGACCTTCCAATGGAACTGGTGACATTTTGACCAAATAATTTGCCCAATGGGCTCTAAATTTCTTTACTAATTAAATCGCCTTCGATTCAGATGCTAAAACATTCTAAAAAGAAATTAATAATATAAAAATTAATAGTCATATAAAGTCATTCTAAGAAATTTCGTCTATTTCTCAACAGGCTCAACAGTTTGTAAAATAAAAACATAAAAAAAACTAGCCGTTGAATGTTGTACAAGATAAAATATTTACTTTGTAGTCAACATTAAAAAAAAAAACAATTTTCAATAAAGTAGCATAAGAACTGGTGGTAATATTTGTAAAGGTGTTCAAAAAAGAGAAAATCTCTCCAATCTGTCAGAATACATAACCTCCATAAAAAGTTCTTTAAAAGGCAAAATGTATACAAATACTATTTTTAATGTTTATAATTGTAAAAAGTTGACAAATATAAAATGAAATTGGTCATTTTGAGAATATGTTTAAAAAAATATTAGGACATATTCAATTACCGGAAGATGTGTAACACTTAATCAGAATAAAAAAATTAGGTGTAAAAATGAAAAAGTAAAAGTCGTAAAAGTAGAGATACTTGTGATACTTGTAAGAAAATAAATAACTACTTTCTTATTTTTACCTGAAAAAGCTTAATTATTGTTTCATCAAATACAAAAACCGATAAACAATAACCCACAATGCCTTGCACATTCACTGTAAAGCACTGAACAGTCACAAGCACACACATACACCAAGTTACACAAATAAAAACCTCCACTCTTTTTATTTTTTACAACGTTGCCACCGTTTTCACTGGGTTGTCTGAGTGTTTTCGAGATTCACGTTCAGATGTCAGTGAAAAAAGATTCTCAACCTTACCACCAAAATGCACCTATGAATCCGACATTAGGCTTTCTACCTTACCGACATAACCGAAGAAAGGTTGGCAACAATGACAAATCGCAGACGCGTCATTTCCTTTGGCGCATGTTGTCGATCTCCCGCTTTTTAATGTTTTTGCTTCGAACAAACATATTTTAATTGTGAAACAGTTTATTTAATCTTCTCCGTAATCGAAAAGTTCAATGAAAGACGATTGTGCAGATCCAAGTGTGGAAGGATTCAATTCTTGTGGTTCCTTTTTAACAAATGCGATGACGCGACGACGAATCGGTAAGTTATTTTTTCTTTTGCAAAACAGTTTATTCTTATGATTATGATTAATAATCTATCTTTGATTTAAACTCTCTAAATTAACTGAAATTAACAATTACCCAGTGACATTAATTAAATTCATTAAATTTGATAACATTTTTTCCGCAGTGTGAGAAAATGTTAGGTTATGTTGATTGTAGCAAAACAAAATGAATATTTTAGTTCCACACATAATATTAATCTAGAAAAATTAAAAAAACAATTGTTTACTTTGGTAGCAAGATTGTAAAAAAATAAAATTTCGGAAAAAAAACATTTTTGAAAAAGTTAAGAAAAATAGGGAAAAATTTTGAAATTTGGCGCTATATTCACTTCAGTTCTTCGAAGGTTGGCAACAGTGACGCCGCAGACGCGTCATTTCCTTTGCCTGGTTAGTCAATCTCCCGCGATTATCATTGTCTTCGCTTCGAAAAACATATTTTATTTATTTTCTCTCTGAATCTCGAAAATTGAATGAAATACGATATATTTTTGCAAATGTAATCAAATGTAATTATGAATTGACGGAATTCACGTGGTTCCTTTCTTGACAAGTGCGATGACGCGGCTTCGTCAGGTTTTTCAATGCAAGGTAATAATATTTGTTTTTTTAAGAAAAATGTAAGTTATTTTATTCCTTTTTTTGTACAAATAACAAAATTCATATATTTATATTGTTGGTAAATTATAAAAACAGTGCAGAATTAATTTTATAAAAATGATACACTGAAAAAAATGCGCATTTGATTCAAATAACCTTAAGTACTTATCAAATAAATTATTATCAAATAATTATTAACAAATAAATATTTACTTAACTCCAATAATTTATATCAATTAAATATAATAATATTATAAATCATTTTTGCTCCAAATACTGAAATTATTGGTTCAAATATAAAATTTATTTGATTCGAATAAAGATTATTCGACTCAAGTAAACATTTATTTGTAAATAAATACACAAGTAATCGGTTACTTGCATCAAATAAATCTTTTTTTCAGTATATATTTTTCAATCTATATAGTACAAAGTCATTGTTTTAATGTAAAATATGCTGCACTGAAAAAAAATTTATTTGATTCAAATAACAGATTAATTGACTAAAATTAAATATTTAATTGAATCAAATAATATTAATTGGAGTCAATTAACCGGTTATTTGAATCAAATAATTTTTTTTTCAGTGTGTGTTTTTAAAATTTGAAAATCTATCTGAAACTTTTTATAAAATGCGCTTTTTTCTTTGCTTTAGTTTTTCTTTGAATCGTAAAAAAGTACTTTATTTAATTTAATTATTTATACAGATTTTATGTTAATTATTTATTTTAATATTTGAGTTCAGATATAAAACATTAAAATTTTTTTTTCTTTTAAATGTTAACATGTTGTATTCAATTTATTTTCTAATTAATTAAAATCTTTATTAAAAATTATTAAAATAAAGCAAAATGAATCATCAAAATTTGAAAGAATCTTCTCAGACTTATAATCTTGGAGAAAGTTTGCGGCAAGCAAACTTGTTGCTAACTTCCAAATTTACTACTTATAGAAAGCTTGTTGCTTATAATTTTATTATATTAAATTAATATACAATATGTATCAACATCATAAAATGAAATTTTTAGCAGTATCAGCCAATATTTCAGCAAGCTTTCCATGTAATATTGAAGCAATAAGTAGTATTCTATTTGAATTTTTTAAACAATCGGTAGTTATTTCATTTATGAATTGTATTAGAGATTCTTTTAAAACAAAAGTTGTGATTGAGAATAAATTCGTTAATGTATTTTTTTCAATTATTTTTTTGTCTATTTCATTTATTTTTTTTAAGAGTTCGTTGTTTCTCAGCGTGCATGACGAGTTGAGAATCAACTGGAAGTCCTTTTCGCCGACGAACTGCGTCTATGTATTTTTTCGCGCGATTTCCACAATCAGATTTTTCCCCAAAATGCTTGTATTCCTCCTCTGTCGATGGTACCCAAAATGGATCTTGTTCGATAACCTGAAAAGGAATAAAATTATAATTATAGATGCTAAAATATTAATATTAGTTTGACTCTAGGGATTAAAATACCTATATGTTTATTTTATGAAAAAATGGTTTTTAATTTTAGAAATTATAAATTTAATGGTAGGGACTAAAGTAGTCGTTTTTGGTCCGTAAAGTCTGTATTTTGAAATAGTTTGACTGGTTCGAGCCCTGAGAGTATATTTGAGAGTCAAAGTTGTTTTGCTTTTTGAAATTGTAAGATTTTCGGTCAACACACACACACACACACACACACACGTACACAGGAACACGTGAAGGAGAATATAATTGCAGGTCGCTCATTCTTTCTTTTTTGTATTTATTTTGATGAAAGGAATGCGAAGTAGGTTCTCATTAAACGGCAACTCTTTAAAACGCAAATGTACGACCACGCGCAGTCGTTCCAAAAGTGTTTTCACTCACGCTCCTTAAGAATAAAAGAGACCGGCTCCTTGCGGCTCCTCGTGCGGACAAAACTTGTCCAGCCTGACGTCTTGCGTAAGCCGGTAGCACTCCGAATTAGGCCCCTTCCCTCCTCCCCTCCCCTGTCACCGTGCCTTGGGTTCCTTTTTATCTTTTTTGTATAAGGTGGCCTTCTTCCTGCAGGTTTTTACCTTCACTCCCTCCCAGCCTCGCCTCTCGTCCATCCTCACATATTGAAATTTATAAGATGCGGACACCTGGCTCTGGGGAATCCGACTGGAAAGAAATAGGCACCCGAGTCGTGATGCTGCGATCGTCAATGTTTGGACCAAATTTTTTAAACGTCGCGTCCCACTGAGCAGATGGTAGCCAAGAGTTTTTGTTTCAGTCAGATTTGTTTTCGTATAGTGCTTAGGCATACGAAAACCAAACGAAAACCATGAACGATGAACACACATCAAGTGATGCGTAGCGCTCCGAAGAGATCACCAGAGAGCAACCTGTTATGTTTGCCTTCTCAATGCGCTCCAGTTATTCAAAAAAATAGCCCCCACGTCCTTTAATTTTACTCTGACGATTTTCAGGATTGCTGTCCTTCTTCTTCTTCTTCTTCTTCTTCTTCTTATTCTTCATCTCCTTCATCTCCCTTTTTCCTCCTTTTTTTCATCTTCCTCCATCAAATTCAACTTCCTGCTCTTCCAAGAGCTCACTTTTTCTCTATATATTTATAATCATTATTAGCCACAAGATCATTCTACCGTACCATTTTCAGAAACTCATCGCACTATCCACTTATCATGTCAAAAAAAAAAATTACTTTTAATCACTTCTCAGAATTTGAGTAATCAATCTTAGAATGAAAAGACCCAGCGTAGCCTAAGAATGTGTGACTACATATTACTTTTCCCCTGAAAAAAATATTTTCCCTTAGATTCGAAATCTGCTAACTGATTTGCATATTAGGGTTGCCACATAGGTCAGGGAAAAATCAGGGATTTTTATTAAAAGTACTATACTGTAAAAAATTTAATTTTTAGAATTTATAAGAAAATTCTGAATTTTTTGTGTCTTTTTTGTTTGACTCATAATAACTATATATATATATGAAATTACCACGAATTCTAATATACAAAACCTTTAGTTTTTTTATTTCTGACAATAATTTCTTTTTAAATAACTTAAATTTTGAAAAACTATAATATAAAATTATTACTTAGAAATTATTTAATAAACAATTCTATACTTAAATATTTCAAAATTATAATTGAATTTTAAAAGCGTTTACAATTTTCCTAAAACAGATGAACTTCAAAAATAAGGTTTAAATTTGAAGTTTTATAAAATTCCAATATTGAATAAATTTAATTGGATTTTGAAGAAATTATACAAATGATTGCAGAAATTCAATTATATTCAAAAATATAATAAAATTTTTATAGGGATTCAATTACATTTATAAATAATAAAATTCTTTTTAGAAATTCAATTACATTTGTAAATAATAAAATTCTTTTTAGAAATTCAATTATTTTTACAAATAATAAAACTCATCACAGAATTTCAATTATTTTTAATCAAATTGAATCAAAGAATTGAATTTCTTTTATTTTTATTTTCCTTGACTCGGAGTGATCGTTAATTTTCACTATTTATTTAATCAAATTTCTCGAAAAATGTAATTATTTTTAAAAATTTTATTCAAATTCGTTAACAGAATTCAATTATTTAAAAATTTGTTGATAAAATCCTTTATTGAATTCAATTTGAAGAAACATTCAATTATTCAATAAATTATTTATTTGCATTTTATTTGTATTTAAATAACTGAATTCTAGTAGAATTTTCTAATAAAAATTTATTTTCATTTCATAAAAATGAATTTCAGTTAAAATTTTAGATAATAATTGAAAATTAAAAGCAATATAGCGTGAATTTACTAAAAATAATTGAATTTTGAAATTAATTTTTTTGAAAAAGTTTTATTGAATTTTAAGAAACATTCAATTATTCAATAAATAATTTATTTTTGTACATAAATAATTGAATTCTCGTAGAATTTTCTAATAAAAAAAAGTCAAAATTTTGTCTATGGAAATCAGGGAAAAACAAAATTAAATTTGTGTGGCAAAACTATCTGTTTGGAGCATTTTAGTTGAAAATATTTTAATTTAGTTTCTGAAAATTAAAAAAATCAGAACCGTACAGAAAATTGAAAAAGAGACTTCAATAATATATTAATCATAATCGTTTTATTTTCGTCCCACGAATGAACAAAAATAATAAAAGTATCCGAAAGAAATTCTTTTCAAAATTCTCATATAATAATGGATGATGGAAAGTAATTAAATTTTTATATGATGAAATAATTTTTTCTTATAATAATAAAGTCAAGTTCCCTTGGGTTATAATATTTTCTTTGGAATTTGAGGTTAACGAAGATAATTAATTCGGATTAGTTCGTAGAAAAGCAAATTTGCTGAGCTAATTGAATTTAACTTCAAAGTATAAAAGCGATTCACTTTCGGAAATCCGGAGTCATGCATATAAATATATACATTTAATACATGTATACATATATATATGTGTATAAATACTTTATACAGTCAAAGGGGGACGTTGAATAAATTATTATTAATTCCTAAATTCTATCAGACAAAAATGCTCCCGCAAGTCATATATAATCAAAAAATTATTATTTTTTTTTCACAGATATTATATATCGACGATGATTAAATATTGAGAATATTCAAATGATACAGACTTCCAGGAAATATAAATAATATATTAGCGAAATTAAATTACGGTAGCAGAAAAAAAAGGATCTAATAATGAATAAAATGAACGGAAATACCAAAAAATTTAGTGCTATTAAAGAAAACCAAACAACCTTTTTATTCAAATTTAATAGCTCTTTCCCAGAATTTCTATTTCCTCTGCGCGCGTATATCTATTTAATTTCCATTTCTGAGTATATAAATGATCACTTCCCCTTCAATTTCTATATACCTTTGAAAAACGACTCATTTTTTTTTTCAAAATATTAGTCAATATTTAATCATAAATATTTGTTTATATTTTATATATTTAATATTCCATTTTTTTCGGACCAATAGATTTAGAAAAAACTGAAATCAGTTCGAAATTAAAAATTTTAGGAAAAATCGAGATTTCTTTTTTGGTAATTATGCGCGGTAGTTCTCTATAGCTCGTATAATTATAATTGAATTCCGAAAGACACATTTACATTAGATTTCCTTTAAGGAAAAACTTCCGTTGTTTTGTTTGTTTCCACCATATAGCATATATATATATATAGGTAAAAGAAGTTGAGTCGGTGCGTCCTGTATACCGTTTGTGCAAGGTATAAAATCTCAACTTTTTCTCATATATATATGTATATACACGTGATAATCTTTCGACGAAGTAGTTGGCTTTACGTATTTCACTGTAAGCTTAACTACAAGCGCGACCATTAGAGACGATTGAGAAGAAAGACCGTTACTCCATTTCAAACCGATTCAAATATAAATGATATGTGAAACATGAAAGGAAAATTACTACCGAGCTAAAGTTCAAATTTCAATTTTCTCATTTTTATTTGCAACCTAAAAATTGGTTGTATTATAATTGTTGCCACGCTTTTGCTCATTTCAAATTCCTTGACTTTTCCAGGATTTCCAGGTTAAAAAACGGAATTTTTCCAAGTTTTTAAAACTATACATTTGTTGCCAACAAACATTTAATTTTCTTTTTCCCTGACAAAATTAAATTCCAGACAAAATTCTTACTTCGTGACTCTAAAGAATATTCTCAATCAGTTTCAAAATTATTACACAGAAAAATGTTCCACTGCTTTTTTTTCAATAAATATTTAATTATTATTTTTCCGTAGGAATTAAAATTTTTTAAAACATTCAAATTGAAACCTTTTTGAAATCGATATCTTCATGTTTTATAATAATTAAATAAAGAAAGATGACCGTCTGATAAAATCATTATTTTATATTTTATAAGAATATTCTTACTGTAACTTCATCAAAATTATTCTCATTTCAATTCAATTATTTTCTACAATTTTTAACTAAAATTCTTCTTTAAACTAATTATTCATTCATTTTTAATAATTTTTGAAAAATTTCTTTGAAAATTTTCAAATCCTTTTGTTTACAATTCAATTTTACGAAATTTCATCGATTATTCGGAAATTCTTTAACTAAATATATATTAGAAAATAAAAATTTGAATTAATTTCAAAAAAGTTCCAAGAAACTTTAAAACAAATTAAATCTACACAATTTTCAGTTAAAAGGATGAAAAATTCAAACTTTCAAAGATTATAATTTGAAACCTTTTCAAAATTCAATTATTTCTAAAAATTCACTCTATAATACTTTCTCTTTAAATTTGAATTAGTAAAAATGTTTATTATTTTCGAATTAGTGACTGACTTTTTGCTTTTGAATTTATCAACAAATTTTTAAATAATTAAAATTCTTTTGACGAATTTTAATAAAATTTTTAAGAATAATTTCCATTTTCGAGAAATTAGATTAAAAATTGCATTAAAAATAATTGCGAATCTCTGTAAAAAAAATTTGATTGAATTGAGAAAAGTTTTTGAAAATATTTGAAAGAGAATTTTTTTAAATCTTTTCACCATAATTAAATTTCTGCGAAGAATGTTGTTATTACTTTTGAAAATAATTAAATTCTTGCGACCGAATTATTAAATTATTAAATTTTTTTGCAAAATTTTATTGAAATAGTAAATATTGAAAATACTTGAATTTTGATAAATATGATTGAAATTAATTAAATTTCTACGAAGAATTTTATTAAAATTATTTTGAAAAAAAATTGAATTGTTAAAAAGAATTTCATTAAAATTTTTGAAAATAATATAATTCTTTTGAGAAATTTAATTAAAAATGTATTGACAATAATACTTAAATTCTATAATAAATAAATTATGCGGAAAGCTTTTTAAAATAATTGAATTTCTTTAAAGAATTTTAATAAAGTTTTTAAGAATTATTACATTTTTAGATAAATTTCATTAAAATTGTTATTTTTGTAGACAATTTTCTGTAATTGAGAAAAGTTTTTGAAAATAATTGAAATTTCGCCAAGAATTTTATTAAATTTTTTGAAAATTAATTGAATTTTCAGGAATAATTTTATTATTTATAAAGATAATTGAAATTTTGACGAGAATTTTTTTTAAACTTTTGACCATAATTGAATTTCTGTGAAGAATTTTATTACTTTTGAAAATAATTGAATTCTTGAGACGAGTTTTAATGATATATTGCTTTTTAAATAATTGAATTCTTTTATGAAATTTTATTGAAATACGTAAATATTTAAAATAATTGAATTTTGATAAATTATTGAAATTAATTTAATTCTACGAGGAATTTTATTAAAATTATTTTGAAAAAAAAATTGAATTGTTAAAAAGAATTTGATTAAAATTTTTTGAAAATAATACATAAATTATAGGAAGGCTTTTTAAAATAATTGAATTTTTTTTTTTTTGATGAATTATAATAAAATTTTTAAGAATAATTACATTTTTCGAGAAATTCCATTAAAATTGTATTAAAAATAATTGAAATTCTGCGATGATTTTTATTATTTATGAAAATAATTGAAAATAATTGAATTGCTGGTAAAAAATATAATTCTTCATGAAAATAATTGAATTATTGCGAAGAAATTTATAAAAAAAATTTGTAAATAATAGAATTCCTGTGAAATTGTTAGTATTTAATTAATTCATTGAAAATTGAATTTTTCTAAAATTTCAAATTAAAACCTTTTGAAGTTTTTCTATTTATGAAAATTGTAAACGCAACTCTATTAAAATTGAATTAATTTTGAAATATTTAAGTAAAATTAGATTTCAAGAATAAGCACAATAACTTTAGAAAAGAATAATTTTCCAGGATTATTCCGATCGAAATTCCCTGACTTTTCCAGGTTTTTTCAAAGTTTATAAAATTTCCTGACATTTTCAGGTTTTCGATGTTTCCAGCTAGGTTGCGTGGCAACCCTGTTTATGTTGCGGTTTTAATAAAAAAATTATTGATTTAATTTCCTAAAATGAAATGCATGCTGATAACTGGGTGCCGCAGTCTTAGCTCGATGCTTAAAATTACGCCTCCTAAATTGAATGAAAATAGTTTAGTTTCAACAATATAATAATAAGTTGAGAGAGCAATAACATATCTGCGGTTGGAAAAAGATTGACACGGAAAAAAAATTTGATTCAAGACGGGGACTTTAAGTGTGTATAGTTGAAAGTGTGGAAACGTCCGGTTAAAGATGGAAACGCCACTTGTTTTGTGTCATTGAAGATGTTACGGGGTCTCTCTAGGTTGTATCGTGACTGCGATACTGGATAAGGCAAGAGATTCAAGAGAGCAAGAAGGGAAGGGAAACGATCTTTGGAGGCACCTCGGGCGCTAGAAGCAGCGACACGGGTTAATTTGATGAAAAAAAAAATAAATAAAAAAAAGTTGGTGCGGAGATCTGGTGGAAGATCTCCAGGAAGAGCGCACGCTTCAGCAAAACCCACGCTTAACTGTGCGGGGCCCGTTGATGGCCCGTGCAGCGCGACCAGTGAATGACCAGTTCTCTCTTAAGGCGCTTTTTCCCCCCCATTTGGCTCTCGTCTCTCTTCGCTTGGCTTCATTCATTAACTCATTCTTGTTTACAGGAAGTTCCTCCTTCGCCCTCTACTCCACTGTTAGTGCCACTTCATCGAGGTCCTTTTCTTTTTACATCTTTTTCCTATATATCCCCCCACTGTTATTTTCCTCTCCTCTTCAAGACGCTTTTTCCTCCTTTTCTCTCGATCTGTCTTCTTTCGTCCTACTTTTAGACCCTTATTCTCCTTTCCAATGATGACACTACGCTATAAAAATAAACGACTCCTCTAGCTCCTGTTATCGTGATCGATTTCGTCCCATCCTTGCGACCAAATTCTCCGCGGCACTGTTACGTTATTAACAATTTTCGATATTTTACAATAACAAAACATGAAGTATATTCCGAAAAACTAGAATGGAACGATTTTAATCGATTTTTCAAGAATTTGACTCGTCATTGATGACCGAAAACTAATTAGCAAGGTATAGAGATTTTTCTCAATAATTTGAAACAGAAAGAAGAAACAGTCGGAGATGTCAAATTACAAAAGTCAGGGAAATTCAGTCAGCATGAGGATCAATAAAAAAGATGCAGCTAGGAGAATGATGAATCGCCAATCCGGTCATTGTGTTTCAAGAGGCATGTGCTTACTGAGTCAGCTTTTTGCCAAATTAAATCTGCCACGCGGGCTCTCGAGAATTGAAAAGATTTTTGGTCGAAAACTATTCCAGGAATGTGACTGAGTCCGTTCACGGGCGGTAATTGTGAGATTTTGAAAAACAGTATTGAACGAGTGATGTTGAAGTAAGGTGTTGCGTGAAGGTTCTCTGATGGTCTATTGATGATGGTTCACGAGAGGGAGCAAGAGAGAGAGAGAGAGAGAGAGAGAGAGGACCGAGGACTGTAGTAGAAAAAGAATCTTATTGACGATTCCATGAAGAGTATCATTCTGTAGCGTCAATATAGAGGCCGAGGGTGCGGGTTGTCAAGATGAATGGTTGTAGTTCCATCTTTGGCGTTTTCGGGCATCTCAAGAGGCTTCAGAGGCTGCAACAGACTAGGAGCATTGTGTTCCTGTCACCGGTTGATTGTCTGTATTGTCCGCGAGGACAATGGCACCGCAGGAGCTTGAAACTTACACCCAACTGTAGTCTGAATCGTTACCCTCGACAGTTTTCTCTACTCTCGAGTCGAAGAATACAAACCCCGGCGGGGGTTCATTGCATCGACCTGTGTTATCTCGCGCCACTCGAGAAACCAAAAAAAAAATTTTTATTTTTAAAACGGACCCCTATGGAGCTTCCAGAAAGTCGCCAACTCTTGGAACTACTTTCTAGTACCGCGAAATCACATAAAACAATCAGATCCTTTAATAATAATTTTTGCGAAATTAAATTCTAGCATTTTTTTACGATAAACACGGAAATGATATATTTCTATGATGTAGAAAAAGAAAGAAAAGAAGCGACATTTCTGTTTTCTTTAAGCCGGGAAGATAAAGCGCATTATCGCTTCAGTCATTTCCGGTGATTATTAGAGGAGGTATCTTGTCGGATCTTCTTTTGAGTAATGGTTCCTATTGTACGTAATGTTAAAGAATTGTTAGGAATTAGAAAGCTTAAGAGATTTTCTCTCACCTCCCAATGACTGAAAACAAGTTGAGGGCTCGCCAATCCGGAAGTCTGGGTCCTTAATTCCGTGGCAAGATCAAAGCTTTCCGGTACAGGTAGCGTCGCAACAACACGAAACTGTCCGCCAAATCCCAATGCATTTTCAGCCGCTATCACTCTTCCTTGCCTTCTTCCGAAAACAGCATACAGCTTGCCTGTCAAAAAATAAAAAATCTTTTATTTAAAAAAAAAATTAGATTCTACCATCTACAATCTAAATCTTATATCTTAATCTAAAATATAAATATTTTTTACGAAAATATATTATTAATAATTATTAATTTTTTTCAGATTTGAAATGAAGCTCTTTGGACCGCAATTGACAGCTGTAGGAATCAATCAAGGATTTTAAAGGAACTCATAATATATTGATCACGTATTATGACTGATTTCTTTAGGAATCATCATTTTTCAATCAGTTTGGTGAGACAAATTGTTTTTGTTATATTCAAGAGTCAATTTCTTAAAAAGTGCGAACAATGACGCAGATCTCCAAATCAATTTTTCGGGGTAAGTTTTTCTTACTAAAACATTTTAATTATTTGTTAAGAATTTAAAACTTTTGTTTAGTTTCGAAGAAACTTAGAACTTAGAATCAAAACATCTGGGTGCAAATAGAAATAGTTTTCATAATATTTATTTCATTATACCTACCATAATGATAAAATGGAGATATTCTGCTGGTTATTTTACAAAATTCTATTTGCATTTACTTTTAAATCTCGAAAGAGCTAAAGGAAAAGGCAGATCAACGGAAGTCATTTATATCGTGATCGGTAGATCCTAAAGCAGTTAGGCTTCGTTCGATAGTTTTTTTTTTTTTTTGGTTCGGAACTAATCGCCACGGGCGCATCCTCAGTCGAGAGTTGATCTCGATGTTAATGGCTATCTAGCTACATCTAAAAAAACTTCTCTCCCTGGGTCAGTAATGGCTTCGAGTGTTGCCAAAAGTTACATTAAAGTGTTCAAACTTTTATATTATGTTATTAATTTTATCCCTATTCGCGCTAATACTATATAGTTTAGAAATTTTATTTTTAAATTTGAATCTTCAGTCTGACATATGGTTGCTATTTACTTCCTTTTTTACAAAATATATATTTAACATCAGGAGAATTAAAAAATTAATCTCTTAATCTGAAATAGCGATTAGTGATTGATTCCAATAAGCTTTTTGAATTTAGTTATATTATCGTTGTGAATTAGTGACATTTCGCTAATTCAGATTTAGACAGTATAACTTTAAAAATTACTCTCATCAAAAAAGTTGACATAGATTAAATTTTTTTAAAGAATAAGTGTAACTAGAGTGGATTTTCAATTTACATGATTCAATCAGCATTTATTAATATCGTCATGAAGCTTGAAAAATAAAATTAATCGTTCGTTAGATCGAAATTCTCAGAAAAATAAATATAAAATAACAGACTCAGTAAAATGGTCAAATAAAATGAAAATTGCTGATTCTTATAAAATATGACAGGAAGACATCGATGCAGTCTTGCGGATATATATATACGTATTCTAATTTGATATATTTTTTTTCGACAACGTTGCTAGTATTACACAAACAGTTCCGGGGACTCCGGAACTTAAATGAAATTTAATACAATTACTACACAAATTGACGTATACGCAGGTATCCGGTGTCAATGGGATTCTCAAATAAGCATTCTTCATTTAAAGCCTGCACACTTCCGTTACACCGACATATATACGCGCTTATATATAGAAAAACTTTTCTCACGTTGATATATTTGTTTCCTCTTCTTTTAACAAACTTTAACACTTCAAGTGCGGAAAAAAAACTGTTCCCGCTTAAAAAGAGAGAACAAATTTCAGGGTTTCTAGACACCTGAAGCTTGGCCTCTTTTGTAGGTTAGGTTACACTCGTAAAAGGCTTAATTTCAAGTAGGACTATATACTTTTAATATATTTCTGTATATTACACGTAGGGCGGGTGGTAAAATCTAAACTTGGCCTAAATTTGAAATGAAACGCAAGGTCTGGAATGATTATAAATTTATTATAGAAAGACAATAAATTTTCCATCTCAGGTGGTGCAGTAAATAAAAAAAATTTGTTCAATTGAAAAGATGGTTTGTAGCCATCTCTAGAAATATATATATATATATGTTAGATGAAATCTCGATCTGTATAGGGATCTGGGACCAATGCCTGTTGCTAGAAAGATCTCTTCTCGGGTTCGTTTGGCTGGTCGCAGCTTCAGGCTTCCGGTCGCGCCCTGCGGCACCTGCGCGCACCTGCCCCCCCCACTACCCCTTTTGGGCCTCTCTCTCCCCCCATTGGAGCAAAGCACAGACTACATTACGCCAACCTTTAACAATCTTTCTTCTCTCCCGATGATGGCACGATGCGAGATGCCTCCTCGAACAGAACAGAGGCTCTCAGGATGTAATCTCAACCACAAAAATGCTAAGAGCCAACAAACTTTCTCGTTATCTTCAAGTTTTATTACTCGAGATTATTTATGTAAATATGACGCGATTTTTCAGTATATAAACCCGTGTGTATATGTATATATATATGCTTCTTTTGGTATATTTAACAGAAGAAAACATGAAAATAAGATTCAAGATTATTTCCTTATAACTTGCTATTTTATTCCGAATATGATTGAAATTATTTTTTTTTATGATAATTGAATCGTGAATTTCAAAGGATGTTCAGATCTTAAAGGGTCATTTTCACCTGTAACGATTGTGAAAAAGACCCTTCCGGTTTTCATTTGAAAAAAAGGTTAGTAGGCTATTGAGACAAATATATTAGGTTCAAATAAAACTTTTTCCTGGTGTAATAATTAATTGTAATTATAATTAGTTCTGGAAATAGTGCGAATAGGTATGAAGTTCAAATAAAATTTTTATTTTGTTTTTTATTACACAGTGAATGAAGTATAAATGGAAATTAATACCTTCCACGTTCGTTAAATTGATTAATAATCATTATATTCGTCACAAAATGCATACTTAGAACAAAAAAGAAAAATGATTCATTTTCGGATCAAAAGTCAGCATAGAGAAAAAAAAGAGATTATTTGTTTATGAATGTTTTGTGAGAAATGCATTTCCTGTGCGGGAAAAACAACATCAGTTTTATTTTAATTTATTATCATTTTATTACTTCTCTAATTATTATAACAATTATTCACATTAAAATATAAGATCGACTTTATTACTTATTCATTTAATTTTTTTATTTTTATTCCGGAATTAGATTTTTAAAATAAAAATTTAACATAATTAAATTAAAAAATATTTTTCTATTTAATGTTATTAATTAAAGAAAAAAGGACAAAGCTTCCTTTACAAGGAAGCAAAAAATAAAATTTTGTCAAAAACTATATAATTACACACGCAAGATAAATTATTGTAATACCTATTCATTATAGAAAGTTTTTTTTTATCCAGAAGCAGAAATTTTTTTTTAAATCATTATAAGGATATAAGATGAAAAAAAAACCTCAATATTTTTTTCATTTTCTTCTCTTTTTTGATTATATAGATCAGTTCTTTTGGAAATTATTGTCAGATATGTGAAAAAAACGATATATATAGTTATTTTTAAAAATCAGTTAATGTCTATACGGGCATATGTTATACAGTCCAAAACATCTGGAAGTTTCCTGTGCAAGATTATTAGGAAGAAAAATGTATATTTGGAAATTCCGTTTCAACTCTCAATTCCCATAATATTATAAACCTTTTTTTTGTGTGTGTGTGTGTGTGCGGTATTAAAGGAAAAGAAGAAGAAAAAAAATAATCCACGAGAAAAGAAAAATAATGTCCGATCAGTGAAATACTACCTGCAATTATATCATTTTTCTGAAACTTCCTTCTTCTTTTTTTTCTCTTTTTTGTAATATATATTTGGAATATGCCTTTTCCAATTCAAGTTTTAAATATTTTATTTTTTTTACCTTAATTTTTACTTTTTTATTCTGAAATTAAGAATATATCACTTAGCACCATTTTTGAATAAAAAAAACACAAAACTGAAAAGTGCAAAAGAAATAATAATAAATAGTAAAAGTAATAGTAAAAATAGTAAAAAAAAATATTATTATTATTTATTATTACTATTAATATTATTATTACAAAAATAACAAATTAAAAATAATTTGTTTATAGTAATTTTTTTGTATCGCGAATAATTTTTGGAAGAAATGAAATTATTAATAGTTAAAATGAAGAAGGCGAAGAGGGAGAATAAAATAATAAAATGTGATTAAAAGGTGAAAGGATAATGAACATAAAACTGAATTAATTAGATCTTTCTGTTAACTGTAGGGTCCCGTAATAAATGACTCAGTTTTTCATTGAATCAGACGATTTTTATCATCAAATAGAAGCTTTAGTGATTTATTTCTCAAAACTGTTTCATTTTTATGAAAATTTCTTAACAAAATAACATATAACTTTTAAAAAAAGTAATACTATCAATTATGATAATTATTATATAGTTAAATTTTACTACAATTATTTAGAAAAAAAAAATGTTTAATAATTTGAATTAGCGACTTACTTTTTGCCTTTGAATTAGTAAATTACTAATAAATATAGTAATATCTACTAATTTATTAGTAAAATTTATTGTTTAAAAGCAAGAAGTCAGACACAATTCAAATTATATATAGTTAACATTGTAACAAATTTTAATTTAGAGATTTTAATAAATATTGTTTAATTTTAAATATTTTAATGATAATAATTTTCCGCATTTTATTGATATTTAGAGTATTTTATAATTTCCACGTGAGATGGAAAACGGGGAGGATAGCAGACGAAATATTAGTAAAATTGAGTGCATGAATGTTTATATTAATTGTGGTATTATGTAGGTAAACAGGCATTCTACCAATAGGAGAAGAGAGTGCACCTAGCAAATAGAGAAAAAGAGAGAAAAAGAGAGAGAAAGAGCGAGAGAGGTGGTAAGAAGGGTGGAAGAGTAGTCGAGTGCAGGGGGGAGTGAATGGACCGCTGCCTTCATCAATGAAGCAGCGGTTCTCAGTCATTGCGTGTCACACGTTTGGTATGCCAATGACTATTCGAAACCTTTGAGCAACTCTTTTTATTATTCTTATTTTTTGTTTTCATTTCTAATCTTCCATCAGGAATGAACTTTACTCACCTGT